ATAGACGTACCCAAAAGCTGTCTGAAAGGCTTCTGTGAATAGGGTTGAGGATAGTCTTTTTATGCTCCTCAAAGTTAGAGGAATAATTAAATAGAAAGAGCAAAGTGACAAAGAATACAAAAGTTGACAAGAATTGTGGCTGAGAGTTTGATGAAACGAGTGATACCACTATCTCTTTGTTAAATATGAAGCATATTAGCATCAACAGTTAGCCTAACTTAGGAAATAAGGAGTAAGTCAATGATTTTCTTTGTGCCTTCCACACGGCGGCGTGCGTTGCGTGCGTTGAAGCTTCAACGCTTCTTCCCATTCACTTTGAATGGGGTGACGTCACGCTTTGCCGAACTGCATTGTGGTTCCATCGCTTTGCTTTGCTGGCGTTGCTCGCTTCAAAAGTTGAGCAATGTTCAACTTTTTAAGCTTCGACGGAAGCGTCAGCCAATCAAATCATATGCCAGTACAAGCTCTAGCCAATCAAACCGCGTGCTTGTGTGTCCGGGGCGGGAGATTCATGTGATTGGTTGTTGGTCGAGTTTCAGACACGCCCGCCGGCAAGCTTCAACGCACGCCGCCGTGTGGACGCTGCGTTAGAGTCCACAATATACAATACTATGACTCTTTATGAAATACTATGCCATGATTTTTCAACATGTATTTCTAAAATATCAGAAATAAACAAAATAGTGGCGAAACTATAAGAAAAATGTAGGTCGAAAAAAAACACAAGGTCAATAGTGTTTTAAATCCATAATATACAGTATGTCGAAATTGTCTGGAAAAAAACTTCATAGTATGCAGTGTTCCCCTACCATTGTCTTGGAGGGGCGCTGCGCCCCGCAAACGGAGCCCCGCATCCCCGCTGAAATTCAAGGTGTTTAAAAAAAACATTATTATTATTACATTTTTTTTATATATATAGCACCAAATTGCAACTAATCTATATATCTACTGTGACTTTTCACATTTAACATGTGCTCTTTTATTAAATATCACAAAAGCCAACATAGAATAGTATGTTGAATAAAGAGGGCATGGTAAAAGGCATTCTCTGTTGCCCATTAGTTATATTTGAAAATAATAATAAATATATAGATATATATGATTTGAAGTCACTTGGTCACATGACCTTGAAGCTATTAACACAAAGAAAATACATTTCAGTAGAAACATTGCTGACATTTCAATCAAATGTTCATATAAAACCACTGAGACCCTTAACAGAGGTGTGTCCTTCTCATCCAGCATCTCATCCATGCTCTAATTTGGGAGAAAGAGATTGTGTTTTAACTTCAAACATCACCGTCCATCTCACAGGGTGAAGCTGGGGCTGCAGGCCAGAGGGGTCAAGCAGGGGAGAGAGGGAGACCCGGACTCCCCGGCGGGGGAGGGTACCACACCAAGGATGCTCAGCCCATGATGGGCCCCGCTGGACCCAGAGGGGAGAGGGGGAGCTCCGGCTCAGACGGTTCCCCCGGGAACCCTGGATCTCAAGGGTCACCAGGAAACGATGTGAGATACAGACTCATCACACACACAGCACTGTAGCCTGAATGCCTCTATTCTACTGTTAATCCTCCAAATAATGCAACACCCAGCTTGTTTGATGTCACAGAGGACAGGGGCCAGAGGCGCTCACTAGCTCCATCTGCTCTTGTAAATAATTCAGTTTTTAATTATCTTCCTTGATTATTGTTTACCCTTTTGTTTTTCTCTTTTTTTCTCGATTCTTAAACAGGCTGTAGTCAATTATGATGAAGTCAAGAACTTCATCCGCCAGCAGGTCATCAAGATCTTCGATGGTGAGGGCATGTGCCTTGTTATGTGAATGTTGTTGTGTATATTCTTGCAGTTTCTAGAGTAGTTGTTTTTTCCCCTTTTTAAAGAGTTATTCCATGTCTCCTCTGGGACACCTCTGTTATTTACTGCTACTTCATTGTTTTTCAATGCATGTTTTCCCTCCTCAGAGAGAATGGCCTACTACCTGTCTCGCATGCAGATGCCAGAGTCGGTGGCCTCCCCAGGCCGGCCCGGGTCCCCAGGGAAAGACGGTACTCCAGGTGTTTCTGGGAGCCAGGGGGCACTTGGATCCCCGGGTCAGATTGGAAGACAAGGACGATCAGGAGGACAAGGACTCCCCGGTATACCTAGGGTCCTTCAAGCACCATAACAGTGACAAAGGTGTCATCATTAGCTAACTCTAAACGTTTTACCACATGTGTCTTTGTGCAGGACCACGAGGGCCAGAGGGAGTAAAAGGAGATAAGGGTGTAGGAGAGATGGGAGACATAGGACCTCCAGGAGCACCAGGTAATGTACCCCACTGGACCAGGGATCAGGAAGTAGTAAAGGCAGCCATGTTGTGTTCAAACCTGAGTAAACTAGATTAAAATATGATCCAACCAAAAACCGAGCCCAGCGCTGCCAATTCCTTTGCAATGCTCTAAAAGTTGCCAAATCTATTGTCTCATTTTGTTTAGGCACTTATATCTGTAATAGTTTTCCACTAGACCTGATCCAAACCCTGCTGTAGGAATGAGCTAACATCACATACATTATGCTAGTTACTGAGTTTGCATTGGTTGTTGATTGGAAAATTGCAAGCTATTAGGATATTGATGTAGCATCGCTCTTAATCGGTAATCATCATCTAGTTTAAATCACTTTACTTAAAGCGTTTATGTATTTTGGGTCAACAAGTGGTTTTGGTTGAAAGAGCAAACACATCAAATGATCAAAAGTGTTCTGAAATGTTTCCCCATGCTCACTTAATAAATGAGATAAACTATTTACTTGTTTTTGCATCGTATTGGTGCAAAACAGTGAGTTATAAGTACAGATAAAGCTTTAAATGATTCGTTTGACATGTGCATATCACCCAAACTATTCTTTTAACTTTCCACATGAGTTCTCTATGGAGCATCGTGCGTCAATCATTCTATGTCCCTTCTTGCAGGTGTCCCCGGGCCCCAAGGCTACGGTAAGACTGGCCCCCCAGGTCCCGTGGGCCAGCAGGGTGTTCCTGGGGTCTCGGGCTCCCCTGGGCAGACGGGGAAAAGGGGAAGCGACGGCCGGTGTAATCCAGGGGACTGTATGAGCCATCAAGTGGAGTACAGTCCCAAGGGCCCAGTCAAGGGCCCCTGGTAAATGGCTGGAAGTGGAGTACTGCTCAAAGTCAAAGACTTTGATCCAAAGTTTTTAAATCTACCCATCCTTTGTTGTTGAATGGTACAAAAATCCACAATGTCTTTCTGAGGGCCCCGCTGGAATGAGGCCTGCAAAGACACACCAGCAGCACTTTGTTTTCATTACATCATTCTTTCTTTTCATAGCCTCTTTATTCTCGCTGTGTTTCACTCCTTTTGTACAATTTCAAGCAATCCAGGGGAGGTGACAGGAATCACAATTTCTATTTTCTTCTCCTTGATTAATTCTGGCCTCTTGTGTTGTTTCTATTCTCTTTGCCTAAATGTGCAGCAGGAGAATACACACAGTTACGGCAGCACTTTGCTTGCACCTCTGATATCTTTGTTCCCTCCTCACAGAATCACACTCAGAGTTAAACTATGCATTTATAATATTCTGTCTTAGTGCTGTGATACACATTTGAATTTGACTTGTAATAGAAATCCCCTCAAAAATTATTTCAATTCTGTAGAAACTGACTTTGCAATCATACCCCTTTTTGATGGGTACGACTGTTTTGTATATATTTATATTTATATATAGTGGATTTTTATACTATTTCAACAGAAAGGAAGACAAACGCATGGCTAGCCACTATTTTATTCATTGTCAATGCATCAAAAAAAGTAGAAAGGATATTTTTCTAATGCCAATAAGCTTTTTAATTGAATATTGTGTTCATCAAAGGACAATTATTTATAAAGGAAAATTGCATTTGTGTCATTTAACTGCAGTATGTTTGGACATGCAGCCATTTTGAAGCATCTCATTGTGGATTCCAAGTGGCTGTAAAAGCCATCTGTCTGCTTCTACAGGCATTTGATTAAAAAAATATGAGCAATTATTGAGTCCATTTACCAGAAATACTGTAACGCATCACTGAGCTAACCACCAAGCCTTCAAGGAGAGAGAACATATTCTGAAAAGTATCACCAATGTTTTTGTAGTACGTAGACATTTTGCTGTATTTTTTTTTTTTCCTGTTTTTTATTTTTTTATACTGAATTAAATTGCTTTTCAAATATGCTGTTTCCTGTTATTATTGTCAACACGTGTTGTTTAGCAAATATTTGTACCCTTATCGTGTTTGTCTTTTATCTGATTTCTTTGTTCCGTTTCCATATCTGAGGTATTGTTTCTTCTTGTTTAATATTTCTTGTAAGCAGTGATGGAAGAGCACCCAGATTATTTACTTCAGTTAAAGTAGCAATACTAAATTGTAAAAATACTCTGTTACAAGTAAAAGTCCTGAATTCAAAATTGAGTATAAGTACAAAAGTATCAGCATCAAAATATACTTCAATGTATCAAATTTAGAGGAGTAAAAACTACAATATAGGCTTCCAAAATGTAGTGGAGGAGAGTATGCATAACTAAAGATACTCAGGTAAAGTAGTACGAGTACATCAAAATTCTAATTAAGTACAGTACTTGAGTCTACATCCACCACTCAGAGGCACCAAAGGGTCGGGGGGGCTTCTCTGAACTCTTATGGTGTGTAGGTTACATTACTGTCATTGTTATTCAACCCATCATGTTAACATGTTATGACACAATTGACCAAAAAACATACAAATCTCAAGCAAAACTTTAAAACAAGTGAGTTTTCCTTTGCTATAACAGTGTGCATTAGAGCAATAAGAGTTGGTAACGTCGTTTTGTGGAATGGTTGGAATATTTGACAAAAGCTGAACATATGCAGCTTTGGAAGAACGGGAGTATATTTACATGCATGAATTGAAGATTTTAAATAGGAGAAACAACAAGAAAAGGAGTTGAGAAAGTGTCCATTCCCCACACGATACAGAAAAGCGTTCGATTTTATAAAAGGTTCCTCTTTATTGGTTTGGGTTGACCTGAACAGCCAACCTCTTTACAGATGATTATATGAAGAACAATAAATAGCTTGTGTTGATGAAAATAAATCAGTCATTAAACAGCTGACGCCCTGTGCAGGCTGACAGTGGCATAGGAAGCACATTCGGCTGATTCGTCTCGAGGAAAAGTCGTTAAATATCTGTCGGAACTTTTTATTACTCGCTGAAATTATTAACACAGGATATCTGTTGGTGCACATCGTAACCCATTCCTTTTCCCCCTACATTATAATCAACACACATTTACAAAGATTTACAGCACTGCATTGTGGGAGATGGGAGTGCCCATCAGGATATGCTGTTGCCAGGCAACAAGAGGATGAGATCAAGCTAGTCGTTAGTTTAAAAAAATGAGGCTCCGGAAAAGAAAGCCGGAGGGGGGGGATGGGGTACACACAGTGATTTAAGGATTTGGCTAAAGCTTACAGATGAGAAAACATTTTACAGTACGGTACGGAGGGTCGATTTCAATCATTTATTGGTCCTTTTTTACACTTTTAAGAAATCATGTGTGATGTCGCAAAAGAGGCAGCGCAGCTAAACTTCAAAACAAGTCTCAAAAATAAAATATTGCATGAGTAAAAACATTTAAAGTGACCGCGGTGAAACAGAGAAGCACCTTCCACCACGCCTGGTTTCAAATCTGTTCCTCTTTCAGGGCTGGGATATTTGACTGACATCATCCACTAGAGACTGCAGAAGGATGTGGGTGCTGCTGTTGTCATGGTGATGTGGGGGTGGGGGGGTTAAGATGAGAGTATGTCCCGCCAGTCAAAAACTTCAGTTTCAGGAGGGGGCGCTATACATCCAGTCACTTTTTCATTATTGTCCCTTACCCTTGGTCCTCGGTGTTGTCCTACAGAGAGGAGTGGTCTCCCTCCCTCTCTTTTTCCTCCCCCCTCTCTCTAGGTGTTGAGCTGCTGATGGAGAGCAGGTCTCTAAATGTTGGGTCCTTTGATGCGGCCCGCCTCCTGTAGTCTGGGGGAGGTGTACGCCGACGCAGCGAGGCACATGGCCGCCTCGCAGAACCCTGGGAGACCCCCTGCACCCGCCTTACCGGGGTACCCCGCCTCTCCGGCTGATCCCTGGGGTCCTCGCTCACCGTGCCTACCGTCCCGAGCCACACCATCAACACCAGAAGGACCTGTGGGAGGAGGATCATTTACTTATTTGTATTTGCATTTTAAGAAATTAGGCATACATAACAAAATAAACACTTGGATACATAAATGAACTTCATAACCAGAGATGGCAAAAGTACACATCCTTTACTCAAGTAGAAACAGATACTCGTGTTTAAAAATACTCTACTAAAAGTAGAAGTACTGACTAAACTTCTTTACCCAAGTAAAAGTAAAGAAGTATGGGCTTTGAAATGTACTTCAGTAAAAAGTACCCATAACTAGCAGCTGCTTTAAAGAGTACCTGACCTCCCTTTATATTAATAGAACAATAATGTCATTGTTAGCTAATGAATGCTGAACATGCTGTCCATGCTGAACAACGGCAACATGACAACGTTTTCATTGGTCCCTCTTCTTTAGAGAAGACCAGGAAATGATGGATACACAGATCGTGTTCAAATCAAGGCACGCAATGACTCTAAATAATAATGATCACGCATCAAACACACATTCAGACTAAAGGAACCAGCTGTTTGGGAAATGTAAGAAGTAGAAAGTACAGGTATTTGTGTTCAACATGTAAGAAGTAAAAGTAAAAAGTCGTCAGAAAAATAAGTAGTGGAGTAAAGTACTGATACCAGAACAATGTACTTAAGTAACAAAGTATTTGTACTCCACTACTTCCCACCTCTGTTCATAACAATCGACAAATCAGGTAAAGAAAAACATACAGTAGTACATATCTTCAGATCTTACCACCTGGTCATTATACATGTTTTGTGTTCTTTAAATTTCACAAATTGTTCCCATCTTCCATCAAAGATATGAAGTTGGTTTCTGATAATAATGGGTATTTTCTCCATTCCATACTTCTCATTAACTACAGTCTTCCATTGTGAGGTAATTAAGTTATCATCTTTTAACCAATTCCTTGTCATTTCTTTAATAACTGCTATTCTTATCACGAGAAATAAGTAGGAATTTTGTATGATATTATATTATAAAAATATTTGACATTTCCCAAAAGCTACACAAGACATTAAAAGACCAAATAATAACTTTGGTTTGCCCACCGCTCACCAGCATTTTGAAGTGGGATTTTGTTTATACTGACTTTGATTTTGAGGAGTCTTGAAGTAACGAATTTCAGGAGGGATTTAAGACGATTTCCAGGCTTCTGAGATCTGAAATCTCCACATCTGATTACCCTTGTGTTCTGTATGCATATATTTAAGTTGCGGGCACAGGGGAGTGTGTTTTCTGTTTGAATAAGTGTGTACTGTTGCAATATTACATTTTCTTCCTGGAGCATCTGTTAAACGACTGGAGTTAATGATGCTTTTAAAATGCTTCTGAGCAGCCTCTCCTGTGGCAGGAGCGGTAATACCTGCTCTCTCTTTTTGCACCCCCCCTCTCCTCTTTTGTCAGCGTAACATACTGTTTTACATTCAGTGTGCGTGCTTCAGTGTAATGTTTTCCACAGCTCTTACCTGGTATTCCTGGGGGTCCTGGTGCTCCTGGATGGGGTTTACCAGGATCTCCTCTTTCTCCCTTAAGTCCTCTCTTTCCTGGGGAGACAGAGGAGGATGAGCTCAAAAGAAGTGTTTGACAGTCAAAGGTCTTTTAATAACCGTTGCAGGAAAGCTGGTGTATTGCCTGAATATTATTTTTGTTATCTTGTTACATCTGATTAACTTAAAGGGGACCTATCATATAAAATGCACTTTTTGATGTCTTGTATACATAAGTATGTGTCCCCGGTGTGTCGGGGAACCCACGCAGCGTCAGAAAATAAAACCCTCTCTCTTTTCCTCCGTACCCAAATCTCTAAAAACGGGGGAACAACGGAGCTGATCCAGATTTGCGTCCGATATGACGTAATATCGGAAATGTGGACCCACGGCCCAATCAGAAACGTTGCTATCAGAAACAATGCCCGACTGTTTTGGACCTCATATGGTCAGTGTTTACATTAGCATCGCTAACACTCAGAGCTAACCTGTACTGGAGAGCATGTGTGTGAAGAAGCAGGAAATAAAAAGGAACTCACCTTGTGGTATAACCGGCAAGAGAGAAAGCCTTTGAGCTCCATACTGTTTCAGAGATAATCCTTGATAATCCATGATATGGCGTTTCATCACGGCAGTATTTAGTTTAGACGGTAGCTGCCGGGTCCCGCATGAGCTCAGACCCCTCCTTTTTTATTTTTGTATCAAATTTTAAATTTTTTAAAGCTTTATACCCAAAATCAGCACTTTTGAAACAGGAAGTGAAATAGAGGGATATGAGGCATGGCTAGAATGGGTGATCTGTTTGGTGTTTTGAGCAAAACACTTCATAGACATGTTTTTTATATGTTTTTATATATCTGAGACCTATGCTATTGCCTAAAAATATCATGATAGGTGCACTTTAAAGTACAATCCTTTAACAGCAGATGGCAGCTTCCCCTTGTTTTTGAGAGAGAACGAAAGTTTGTAAACCTACATAAATAAAAAATTATCAAATCTTTAGTGAACTCCGAAGTTCTGTGGAGTCTCGCAGTCAGCTATCCCCGTGGATTTGTTGTTAAACAAATGAACGTAAAAATCTCACAATCCTGATTAATTGCTCGATGAAAGCTCTACTTTAAACACAATATGCGTCATATTTCAAACATATTGATGCTCCGCTGCCTCTCTTTACCTTTAAGTCCGGTGTTTCCGACCTGTCCAGGCCCTCCGAACATGCCGGGAATGCCGCGGGATCCAGGTAAGCCATGTTGCCCCTGACTACCAGGTGATCCAGGGGGTCCAGGGGCGCCGGGGGGTCCCATCACACCAGCTCCACCCAGCACCGCCCTCTTGGCGCTCACCGCCACAGCAGCTAGCCTCTCTGTAACCCACACAGCAGCACATTGGTGATTTAATTACCTTTAATGACGGGAGACGAGAGTAATCTAATCCCCCCCCCCCTGAGGACATCAAAGGTGAACATCGAGGTCCGGAGGCTCACCTTGCAACATCTTCAGCACCACCTCGATAATATGCTGGTCTGATGCATCGCGGCCCTGGAGAGAGGAAGAGGAGTCTGAGCGATACAGAGAGATGGAATCGTGCATCGGAAGTGCGATCGAAAGAGAACTGGACTCAGAATCAGAATACCTTTATTAGTCCCACAGAGGGGACATTTACATTGTTACAGCAGAAAAGAGCCAAAGACAGCTTAATGTTACCTAAGTAGCATAAAAAAAATTGTAATAACAAAAGTTTTACAAAAATCACATCCTGTAACAGTTCTGAGGATTTAGCAGCCAGGTATATATTGCACAGTTAACTCACCGCTGTCCCTGAAATGCCGGACATGCCGGGTACTCCTCGCTCTCCGTTCAGTCCCCTGGGGCCGGGCAGTCCTGAGGGGCCCACGTCTCCAGGTTTACCGGGGTCTCCAGTGGGTCCATTGTGTCCCGTTTCACCCCTGATTCCTTGCTGTGAAGAGATGAGCAAATTCATAGAGTAAAAAAAAGAGCCTGATGAAAAGCGATGATGTTTCAAACTAAAATGAACAACCCTAGAGTAAAGACTAAGATATTATTTTTGCACACAGTTCATCCTCACCTGTCCTTTGGGCCCGGGTTCACCAGACATACCCTGAGAAAGGAAACGATGATATCATATTCTCATTCATCACTTCCAGCGATCCTTTCCGCATCAGAGACACTCATTGAGCAATAATTCAAGAACGAATATTGTATATGAATCTGTAAAACGCTGCTTTACAGAGCCAACGTGCATCATTGCCTCACTGCCATGTAAATAGCTCATTTGCCATCTGGACTATTATGGGGATTTGCTTGGAAATTCAAAAACAGACTTCCTCTCTTTGTCTTAACGTCTGTATAGTTCATCCATTTTCCTCTACTGTATATTGTAGTCTGCTCTGATGCATTTTGTAACAATATGTTAAGACCTTCTTATCTTAAGGTGGTTGGAGTGTTGTAGACTTCCTTTGTGGTTCAAAACGTTTTGAAACAGCTTTAGGTTGTGCGAAAACAACTTTTACCTTATCACCATTCTCGCCAGCCAATCCCTCAACACCGGGGTCACCCTAAAAGCGGCAGAGAGGAGAAGATTAAGAGGACGGATGGAGAAGGATTGACTCACAGAAATATTTGTCAGCACTGGAGCAGGAATACAACAAAGTGAGACCAGTTTCAGACAATCCGGTTTTAAAAACTGCTACTCACATCGTCTCCCTTTGACCCGCCTTTCCCTTGGAAACCCTGGAAAGAAGGATGGTTTTAGTACACGTAAATGTGGTTAAATCTGGATATTAATATCCTCAAAAAAAGAAATAACTAAATATTGATTCAAGCTATGACACCGCAGATCACAAAGTAAGAAAGATGTAGTCTCATCTCTAAAACATGGAAGATGAGGATGCTCTGATTATCATTTATATTGCTTATTTATATCGCTCGCCTCATTCGGTGATTTACTGTGGATTGGTGTGACTTTTATTCACGGGTGAACACTGCCCCCAATGGACACGTCTGGGTAATTCAAGTGTGTTTGAATGTCTGAATGTATGACTGCCCTGTTTTATAAAGCAATATATGTGTTTCATTATGCACACACACGCACAGACCTTGTCTCCCTTGGTTCCACCGAGACCCTGAGCACCGGGAACACCCATTGGTCCTCTCTCTCCTTGTCCTCCCTGTAAAGAGATAATGAAATGTATAAAGGAAAGTGAAGCCACAGGTGAGTGAACATTTAAATATATGCAAAGAGGTGTCTTACAGGCTTGCCGACTACTCCCTGTGGACCCACTGCTCCCCGCTGGCCTCTGTCGCCCTGTGAAAAATAAGAAAGGTGAGTATGTTTTAAAAGTTGCAGTTTTTTAGAGCTTTTAAGGGATAATTCTGGATGTATACCTTGGGTCCGGGAACGCCTTCCATACCAGCCTCGCCAGGAACACCAGGCTCACCCTAGGAGAACAGTTAAAGATCACCCTACTGCACAATATAAGAACACAAATATATCCTAAAAATCCATATGTGCGGGTTACCAGAGGTCCTGAGGTGCCTTGCATTCCAACGTGGCCCCGAGGTCCAGACTCGCCCTAACAAGCAAAGAGAGATCATGAGATTTAAAACAAATGAACACCAGGAGAAGTAGAGAAGGTCAATACATCACAATATATATATACAATATATTATTACTAACCTTCCCTCCAGGTCCTCCTTTTGTCCCTGGGCCGCCGGGTAATCCCTGCACACAGAGGAAACCAAAAAACTCTTCAAAAGGAAAACATATATTTAATTTGCTGTATTTTATGTTTGAAATGGAGGAAATTATATTTAAAATGCAACTGGTAATGTCAGTGGATATTAGTATGGGGGTGATAGTAGAGGGTGGTGATACTGCTGACGTCTAATAGAGTAAAAACATTGGAAATACGTGCAGTGTCAGCTATTGACATACACCTTACCTTGCTCAGATTTTGTGTGTGTGTGTGTATGTCTCTGTGTGTGTGTGTGTGTCTGTGTGTGTGTGTTAGAGAGAGGGTATATATTGCAGTAGGGCATAAAGCAGGGTAACTTATAGTGTTTGAGTTTGCAGCAGCCTCAGTGTCACTGCAGTGACCACACAGCCAAGTGTGCATCTCATGCTCCATTACCCTTTAGTCAGAATGACGAGCACAAACACACACACACACACACACACAAACACACACACACGCAGTGCTGATTGTGATAAATCACTCGTGTTGGGCGGTAGAATGCTATTTCAAGGTGGTTTGAATTCTAAAACAGCGTGGTTCACAGGGTCACTGTTACCTGGATGAGTGCCCAGAAAAGAAAACATAGCAGAAATTACAGGCTGCTTCACGCTGCGTTGTTGAATGGAGGAGTACAGATTGACCCTCTACGTGTTCTGAGTGATAAAAAGCCTTTACAGACAGATGCCTTTAGTGGAATTTGTGACCCTCCCACCCCAAAGAAACACTGCAGGATCACTCACCGCATGCCCCTGAGGACCGGGAGCACCAGGCCTCCCAGCCAGGCCAGGGCCGCCCTGCAGAAAAAGGAGAACAGAAGAAGATTAAATTGCCTTTTTGCTGCGACCGGATTTTTCTCATCATTATTGCGGCTGGCAGCACTTACCTTGATTCCAGGGATACCAGGTGTGCCATCCTTTCCGTCAATGCCCGGCAGACCCTGAAAAAGCAGGCAGAGGAGTCAGTGGACCTCATTTGGCAGACTTTCTGAACACGACTGTGTCATGTACAAATAAAAGTGCGTTCACTCACATTCTCTCCCTTCTTGCCAACCGCACCCTGTGGGCCTGTGATACCTCGGCTGCCCTGCAGAAGATAACCAAACCAGCGTGAGCGAATGAACATTGCACATCAGTAGAAATATTTCATTGTTTTTTCAACAGTATGTATTTCAACGCTAGGAGAGTCACCTACTTTGTCTCCCTTGCCGCCTGCCTCTCCAGGTGGTCCCTTGGGTCCTTCCTCACCCTGCAAACAGAGAAGAAGTTAGATTAGCTGAGGTTTATTCTGGGTACTTTTCTTTAATGTCATTGTAATGTTGGTGAGTGTTCTTACAGGAGGCCCGGGAATTCCTACAGGTCCGTTGATGCCCTTGTAGCCGCGGGGCCCCTATGGGAAAACAAAGAAATGGCCATCAGTCACTTCAGATCAGGGAGGATGCTAAGTCACAGTAGCCTACTATTCGTTGTGATAAAGGGGTAATTAGTGCTTAACTCACTTCACTAATGGGAGCTACACAGCCACTCTTGCTTTGGCATTAAGCCGGGGTGCTAACTTGGCTAACGCGGCTAATGTTAACAGTAAGACGGATGGCTACATCGGATCATTAACTACAGATGGAGGCACTGTGGACCCAGACAACCCCAACTCATTAGAGGAGGGGAGAGATTTGTGTTAGCATCATTTCCATATGTCCCCATTGCTGGTAATGGATGATGTTTGTATAGCAGGGGCAGGTCTGTGTGTGCCTCCTTGGTGCTCTTCTTAGAATGAGAACAGCCTCGTGACCAAAGAGAAAGAGGACAAATAAAGTTAGATGTGTGAACAAAAGAGAATGGTTTTACTTACTGCTTCCCCTTTAGGACCCATCATTCCTGGATAACCTCTCAGACCCAGCGGACCCTTCAAATTAAACAAGGACGTTCTGTCAGATCGAGATAATACAGTGTTATTTTGCCAAGTGACTTAAACAAGCTCTTATTATACCGGAGGTCCTGGGATGCCTTGCTCCCCAGAGATGCCAATTTCTCCCCTGGGACCCTGGTGGAGGAAAGGAAGAAGAACAGGCTGATTAGTAAGTCTCTTTCTGTGCTGCTCTCTTTATTTGAGTGACATTGTTCACAAAGTTTGACCAAAGAAATTCAAAGCCAGAAAGGAGATCCAGCTAAAACCAGTCTATGATGGCAGCTGGTTGCTCTTGATGTCTGAACTGATCATTGATGGTTGCATATGTTCATGTTCAAGTTTGTTAAAAAGGTCATCTAATTGTAAAAGGGGAAACAACCACCATAGGCTACTCAATTAACAAACATCAGGCGAAGCTAAAACAGTTCTAAATGCTTGTGTTATTATAAGAACAGTTTGAGATTTTGTGAAATACTCCTTTTTGGTTAGATGACTCAATCTCTCAGGACTGTTTTTAAGCAGCAGAAGACAGATGGTGATTAGCTTAGATTAGCATGAATAACTGAAGCAGAAGGTAATAGCTAAATTGGGTCTGGCCAAATATATGTCCACCTTAAACACACGTTCACTTAAAAATGTAGTGGTTTCCATTGATTATATGACTCTAACTACTTCCTAGCGACTGGAAGTCAATGCACCTGTTACCTGTTTGAAACATCCACAGAATACACAGAATGCAACCTGTTTTTTTATTATTAAACCAATTTGATACTCATAGTTTAATTTATTATTAATTTATATTTCTGGTTCATCTAGTTGGTCTTGTAAAATAAATACCTAATTTACTTCCCAGAGCAGCATCCTGTTTGCCCGGTATAAAGCTAGTCAAATCTATCAAAAACAAAGGTTTGGACCATTAGCCCGTTTTAGCTACTATATTTTTATTTTTTAGCAGATTCAAAATAAAGTTGTTTTCTGGTCTGACTCACATTATCATCAGTAATATAACAAGAAGAAAAGGTATCTGTGTTTGGAATGGAACCGCTAGTGGGGATGTAAACTGCCCATGCTGAGTTGAAAAGAGGGAGACATACCACCTTGCACCCCTGTGTCAGGGTGGAGTACAGTGGAGTGTTTTTTAGCATCAGAGGCTTATTTTGTTGGAAGATCAGAGGCTAATACCTGAGTCCTGTCTAGCAGTTCCCTTACAGTAGTGTTTCTCAAACATTTTCATACCAAGGACCACTCAACCAATAAAAAAACAAATCGCGGACGTGGACCACCTAACTCCACAAATATCCAAAAACACATCGTTTTTTACAAATTGCCTGAAAAGTGTACAAACAAGTGGCAACATGTGTGATGAAGGTGCTTATCTGGGCTATATCATGCAATCGAAAGTGAAACTTAAGCTCGTTCCATTGCGGAGATATTCCCGCGAGATTGCGGAAAATTTAAATTTATTTATTTATTTCAAATGTGAAATTTTACCAATATACTCACGGACCACTAGGGGGCGCTCACGGACCACCAGTGGTCCGCGGACCACACTTTGAGAAGCACTGCGGCTTACAACCTACTGTGCTCATTAACTGTGCTTAATACAGCGAGGGGAGGGGGCTCGTGAACCCTGACTTTCTCATCTTCCTCTCCGTATACCTGGCTCTTCAGCACCCCTTTCATCTGGCTCGCTGCATGCTGACTGCAGGCCCGGGTCTGACTAATCGCAGCCAGATTAGTGCCAGTCATGTGCCTCTGGGGGGGCTTCATTAGAGCTAATCCTCACCTTGGCTGGTCCCGAATGGTAGGGGGTTTCGCCACATGTACATGTACGGGTGTTTGACTGTGTGTATCCATTCTGCAGAGCTCACCGATTTTCCAATGCTGCCAGGCTCTCCGAGAACTCCGGCACGTCCTTTGTGTCCCTAGAGGTAAGGTAAGGTAAGATACGTTTATTCATATAGCACATTTCAGACGCAGAGGCAATTCAAAGTGCTTTACATTGATCATTACATGATACAGAGAGGAACACAATAAATAAACATAATGGAATAACAGTTTCATAAAAACAATGCATTAATGAGATACAAAATAGTTTAAAAACGACATTGTAAATACGGTAAGTGCTAAAAACAAGTTAAAAGGCTTCTGGGTAAGCAGATGTCAAAAGTAGTGTGTTTAGCCTCGACTTAAAAAAACTCAGCGTTGGTGAAGACCTCAGGTTTTCTGGAAGTTTGTTCCATTTGTGGGGAGCATAAAAACTAAAAGCAGCTTTGACGTGTTTGGTTCTGAGCTGGGGAACAATGAGTAAGCCCGCTCCCGATGATCTCAGAGCTCTAGGGGGCTCGTAACAGGGCAACATGTCAGACATATATTGGGGTCCCAAACCATTTAATGCTTTAGAAGTTAACAATATAATTTTAAAATCGATTCTGTAAGAGGGCAAAAGAACGTATGTAGGGTGTCATAATTTTTTTTTAATGTAACATACATTTTTTTTGCTGAATAAATGCTGACTTGAAGAGCCTCACCTTGATTCCCTGCAGTCCCTGGGGGCCTTTAACTCCAGCCGGACAGTTAAGAGGGCACTGTTGTCGGGAGAAGGGAACATATGGATTATGAAAAGCGAGATTGTGTCAAAATAGATTTGAGAGCAAGTGTTGTCGTTAGGTGTTACCTGGAAGTCGGCACTTCCCTCCTCTCCACCGATGAACTTCCCTGGAGACCCCTAGACGGACAGACAGATGGATGAAGATAGTCACCTGGTCACAGTAGCCCCTGCTCCCAGGAGCTGAGCCAGCACTCTCTTTATCTATTTCTCCCTCCATCTTTCCTTCTATCTGTTTATAGATTGACTTAGGAAGTAAAGTATCTGTTCAGGGGGCTGATGTATTCCTGCTACAGTCAGATGAGACAGCCCACTGATCTAATGGGGGTTTATTTACCCTAGGACAGCACTAAAGCTAAACAAATACACTCCCATGGGTGGAAAGTCACACCCACTGCTTGGAAGCACACAGAGATGCACACAGGGGAGAACACACACCGGTGAAAAATAGACTTGAAAGTGTAGCGCTCAAAAATGTTTGAGATAATTCACCCCCTGCTGTCTGCGGGGACCCGATGAAGCAGCACTGTGCGGCGCTAGCTGCTTAGCTATCCTCGAGTATATTATGAAAGCATGTCAATTGCTGCTGGTTTTGTAGAACAGAGCACTATCAACATAGCTTTAGCCGATGCGATGTTGAGTTTTTCTTTGCACAGTGATCCTATTAGGAATATCTATAGACAATGTAACTGCAATTACGTTGATGTAACCATATGGTGCATTTAGCGTGATGGGCTTCTAGTAGCCTGATGTCATCAACATCACTGAAAAAAGGTTTAGGTTTATCCATTCAACACAGTTTAACTCACTGTTTATCCATCAGCCAGTAATAGCTTATTGTAGATATTAGTTATTACATTAAATTACATAACACTTATCCAAAGCGACTTCCATTTAGTGCAAAAACCATAAAGAATTAAACTCTGAACAACAAGGAAAGTGCATATATATTCACTTCAAGCAAGATTATACCATAGTGAGTGCTGGTGAGTTAGTTACAAGGCCTAAAATAACACAAAAAAACGTATTTGACAATATATGGTTGAAGTATTTTGAAACAGTTGCATAGTTTTTCCACCAGAGGGAAATGACTAATACGTGTATTTAGAGTACTGTACTGGTGGGACCTGCCGAGTATTATACAGTAGTTTAAAGTTACTACGTTTTGTTCTATGTTGTTTAGTGTATTTTCAGAAGATGCTATTATATAGCAATCCAACCTATTCAGGTTTTGGTCATTTTAATATCAGGATCATTCCACTATGAATCAGAGAGATAAAGGATGGATAAGATATTTCCTCTACAACTTACTGGCTTGCCAGGAGGTCCAGGAAGTCCAGAAGCTCCGGATGATCCCATGCCACCCTAAATGAAGCAGATGGAAAGAAGTTGTTGATAAGAACGTCACAGTAAAGAAAACTTAACTTCTTTGAGAGGTTTGTAAATCATGTAGGCAGTGAAATAAAACTGTTTTCCTACCTTTGGTCCGTTTATTCCAATTTCACCTGGAAGACCAATTGGCCCTGGAGCGCCCTACAGAGACACAAGGGATACACATTCCAGCATCCACAAAAGTATGTCCACACATCAAAGCAATTAAGTGATAACGACCAAACAAGCTACTTACAGCCAATCCTGGAAGGCCGGGTCCCTGCGTGGACAGAAGGGACGAGGGGTTAAACTACTGCATAACAAGTGGAACCAATCCATCAAAGTATCAATTATCATTGGTGAAAGCCAATTATGAATGGAGGCAGTAATTCAGTAATGTTTGCAGTGTCAGAGCGCGGGGTAAACAGTGCTCGAGAAGAACAGAGACGCACAGCGCAATCACTTTATGTTCGCTGTGTGTTTTGCTTGGAATTAATTATAAACAAAGTAATTAAGTGAGTAAGCCTTCTTGGAGGAAGAGTGGCCCACAGGTCGGGTCTCCTGTCTGAGCAGGCAGCTTGATGTTCACGCACATCCCCCCCACCTGTTAATGCTAAACAAGGGATTTACCTAATAGTGTTTCATTCAAGCGTAACATTGGATAAACCTGGACTTAATGTTTTATAGTTTTGGGTGGACACTGAGCACCATCTAGTGGTATTAGGCTGTGCTACAGTAGATAAAGTGCTGGTATATTGGTTGTTTCTTTTTGCAGTGATATCTAATGCATAATGTAAGCATTCCTCTCTATTAAGGACTCTGTAGAAGTGTGGCTTATGTCAGCTTCGGAAGGCATCTGCCACATCTGGGTAGATGAAGCCCAAAAGGGGGCACAGCTGGTCAGGCATCCATGCATGAAGACAGAGACTCAGGAGGTTGCCACTGTCAGACCAGCTGGTTTAAAACATGTTTGTTTGGAAACTGACGTGACTTAAGCGATGCATAATTTAGCCCTGCATCTCTCAGGTTCATAAGTATTATGACAATTTGATGAAGATGAAATGTTATATAATTTGTCATATTGTATCTTTTACTCGGGTACTGTACTACGTAGTAATTATTTTCTTTATTACGTTTCATTTATATATATTAAATATGATGCAATAAGCCTGTGGTTTCCAGCATTTTCGGCTTGTGACCCCTTATAAAAAAGCTGTACCTAGTAAGAGCTCTTAATCGTGATTTAGTTGGCAGCAGTTCTGGCTAAAAGATTGTCAATACCCAAATTAACATTTAGCTAAAATTGACACTGTTGTATCAACATGCATGACTAACAGACCGAATGAAGCTAAAGCCAAAACATTTGATTATATTTAATCTGTACTTGACCTTCCAAAGTGTCAGTGGCTAAGTGGAGCACTTCTATTGAAGTACATTGACTGTGAAATTGCAAAGAGCGATACTTTGAAGCTTGTTTAGCAGCAGCCGTCTACAGCTATCTCGCTGAATACTGGACTAGTTTGAAAACTGTTACCCCCATTAGTCATGTAGGCTCAAAAGCATGGGGAAATAGTGTCCAGGACAAATAACACAAAAGGTCCCGCTTGAGTACAAAGTCTGGGTACGTATTCCCACACATTCAGAATGAGATTGAAACATATAAGATATTCACTCGTTACTTAATGACAGCAAATACATAAATGATTTACTTACAGGAAGACCAGGTTCCCCAGTGGGTCCAGATTGACCCTGCAGGCAACAGACAACAACAATATTATTATAGTAGTGACCTGCCTGATCTCACATCATTAGTTACTTACTCTCTGGTTAACAGGGGTTAATTGTTAGGTTCAGCTTTCATATGACACGTTTATGGGAGCATGACCACAATAGTTATTCTTTTTTTGCTGTTAAACAGGTTTTTCACATGGATTCTTTTTAATCATGTGTTCAGGTGGAGGTTTGGACACTTGCCTTCGGGCCAGGGTTTCCAAAAGGACCGCGATCCCCCTTTGCTCCAATCAGACCCTGGAGACAGACAGAGAGACATGTTAGCAGGCAGATAGGCTCGACATGCAGAGGGAAACATGGCCATTAAAAGACATTGAAGCGGTTTAAGATTACAATATTATTTACCACTGTGTTTCCCATGGGGTATATGGGACCTGAATTCACCTTATAAAAAGGACTTATCACAGATTTAATCGAAGCTGACACTGTTTTTGCGATTAATTAGGAAACAAACCTGAGATTGGGATTCCAGGGCGGATTACTGACTAAATCTCTGAGGAATGCATGAGTGTGTGTGTGTGTGTGTGTGTGTGTGTGTGTGTGTGTGTGTGTGTGTGTGTGTGTGTGTGTGTGTGTGTGTGTGTGTGTGTGTGTGTGTGTGTGTGTGTGTGTGTGTGTGTGTGTGTGTGTGTGTGTGTGTGTGTGTGTGTGTGTACTTCTGTAAGCATGTGACCAAGAGGCTTTGGCACTCAATTCACCTCCAACCCAGACTGTAGCTGCACTACAAATCAAGTATTAAGTTAAATCGATCAGTGCCCTGAAGCTATAAAATACTGTAAGACGAAGTTGGCTGTGTATATCTGCGGCTCCTCTCTACCTGTGATTATCACAGACTTAACAGGAATCATCATGAGATAATGGCTTTGACAGAAGTCTGGTATATTAATCTCATCATGTAGACGTGCTTATCATTTGTTTACAAGGCTTTCCATTTACCTCGGCAAAACTCATTTCTGGAAAAATATGTGAAAACAAGCTGTAATTACTAAATCCCCACGTTGAGGGTCCATTTCACAAGGAACTTATGAATGCTTTAATACGATAATTATCTGCAAATGTGGAGTTGCTTTATGTAGTTACATCTTGATTTGGAAAAGGAGAAGTGCTCTAAAAATCATGTTAAAGTTAAAACAACCTGTCGCTAACTAACATACATTTCGGATGAGTATGTATTTTGTATCAAACCTTGACTTCATAACCGTTTGAAATCTTCTTGAGTTTCATTGTTTCATTTACAGTCTACTTTTCTCATTAAACCCATTGTCTGCATGCTTAAAATGAAATATGTATACATCTTCTTCCCCATTTGTCGTTTGCAAAGCCAGACAATGTCTAGAATCCAGGAGATATCTTCCTTGAAAGTGGACACTCAATTCTGATTGTTTTGACAAATGCTACTTACTATTGCTTTGAAGTCCTAGATATGCTATGGTTGAAATCAGTAGTAGGCTCACATGTAAACAAACGAGCAAACCACACTGTTGATAAGGACTGTTTTGACACTAATACAATCTCCACTGTAACAACTCTCCATATACATAGGTCTATTTTGTCACTCGAAACACATGACATGTGCATTATCATGGATACACCAGCAAAGATTTATACAAATAACACAGGGAACCTTTCATCAAAACATTGCTATACGGCCCCACTAGTGTGCAAAAGTATACGACAGGGTCCCCCTAAAAGTTTGATATAATTGTCAGTGAACATTGGGATATATCCTGCCTATATACAATTATTTCCTTGTACAACATCCTTTGAATGTTGTTTCTAAAAGAAAAATGCATCACTTTGTTCTCTTACAGATTATTAATAACTTGTGGCTAAAATCATCCATTGAAAGTTATTTGGCTTTCATTGAAAGACTTCTGTTACATTCCGTTTCTTTATGCTGATCTTGCTATTCCTATGGGATTGGTATCACATTTGTTTACTCACATTTTTGTTTCCTCCTATTAACCCTTAGATGCATAAGTGGGTCTTTTTTGACCCGGTGAGGTGGTTTTCTTGAAGTATCTTTGTAATTACATTTTTTTATCATTTCATATTCAAGCTATTCCTCAAAAAACATGTTTTGGATATCATGCCATTCAAATTTTTTATTTACATTTTAAGAAATTGTAGTTTTTGTATTAATTACGGCCCGTCCACACAGCGGCGTGCGTTGAAGCTTCCAACGCTTCTGCCCATTCACTTTGAATGGGGTGACGTCACTTTTAGCCGAACTGCATTTTGGGAAGCGACGTGGAGCGTTGCTGGCGTAGCTGGCGTCAAAAGTTGAGCAATGTTCAACTTTTGACGCCTCGACGGAGGCGTCAGCCAATGAAATCCCGTTTATTCAAATCTGCCAGTACAATCGCTAGCCAATCAAACCGCGTGTATGCTGGGAGAGACTACGCAGGTCATTTCCTCATATTCAAAAAAAATTGAGGGAACATTCATTGTAGCGGTAGTGAATCACCCGGTGCTGTATGATCAGTCTCTGTTCATCTACCGGGATACAAACCGGAGGAGCGAGGCATGGAGGGAGGTGGCAGAGACAGTGGGTGAAACTGGTAGGTTTTCGCCTGTTTGGGGATTTTATATCCAGTTTACTTCGTTTTAACATTGCTATTGCTTTGTATGTCGGGGGCAGGAGATTCATGTGATTGGTTGTTGGTCGTGTTGCTCGCAAAAAATCCCCAAGCTTCAGATACGCCCACCTCCAAGCGTCAACGCACGCTGCTGTGTGGACGCTCCGTTACTACCCCAAGCTTCCATTCCAACTTTTAAAATGTTAATGTAATTAAAACATCAGTCTCCCAGTTTCCCAAATTCTCTTAACCCTTAGATCAGTGGTTCCCATTCCCAAAGGGTGTGCCGTAAGTCAAGTTCGGGTGTGCCGTGGGATTTTGTGACAACCATACGTTATTATTGCAATATACAACTACACAAAAATAATTACCGTTTAATTTATTATATAAGTACTTTGTAGGTTTATATGTACGTAATCTGCGCGACTTGTGCGTCCACATCTCCATGTGCAGTGTTGCATAAACATGGCTGAGTCAGCGATAACTTTCGAGGGGTGGTTATTATTGAGTTCGTCCGAAGAATAGACAGGAATGTGACGGTGAGGTGCAAACTGTGTCCAGGCCAGAAGCTGTTAACCACTGCTGGAAACACCACGTCAAACCTCAACAACACCTGCAAAGAACACATGCTAAGGTGAAGCTACCGCACACGCTATTTGTTGTTTGTTTATATCACGTAGTCTGTTCTTCTTCTCTGTCTTTCGGTTGTGGTCTGTTTTGAATGACAAATACACACTACCGCCGCCTGCTGGTAAGGAAAGTTATTGCCACTCACGCATGTGCTCGGCGAGTAAAGTAACGAGTTACTTTATGTAGATAGTAACGAAGTAGTGTAATATATCGGCAAAATATTTACAATAGCACATGTTTCAATGCTGATTGCTGAAATGTTACATTTATAATTTGTTCAATGGACAATGCAGCTTCCTTGCATTGACAGTTCTCTGTGCTGAATTTCTGCTGAGTTTCCTTTGCCTCGTTTTTTATGTTGTGACCTGTCTGGTTTAAATGAGTGTTGCTGCTTTGATGAAACCTAATTTGATAAAGTTTCAAATTAATTTCTGAAATATTTCGTTAATAAATATTTCACGAGTAATATAGTTGTCTTTGTCACATTTTATTTGGCATTAGTAAATAATTATGCACATTTACAGATATTTTACATGATATGAGTGATAACACGTGTTATAAGGGCTATTTTGCACAATAGGTGTGCCTTGAGATTTGTACTTGTCCTTTGGTGTGCCTTGGGCACAAAAAGTTTGGGAACCACTGCCTTAGATGCACGAGTGACTGGACCCTACACTCTTCCATACAGTAAATAAGTGGGTCAAAAATGACCCGCATGCATTTCTATGGAATTTCATTTTTCTTTTTTTAAATGTAAAAAAAAAAAAAAAAAATTCTAAATAGGGAAACATTTAACATAAAATATTTCTAGTGTGAACCAAAATATAATACTAAATATTATACAAGTGATTTTCCTTAACCAAAAATGGCATAAAAACACATATTATTCTATTACGGGTCCTTTTTGACCCACTTATGGAAGAGTGTAGGGTCCAGTCACTCATGCATCTAAGGGTTAAGAGAATTTGAGAAACTGGGAGACTGATTTTTGTTTTAATTACATTAACATGTTAAAAGCCATTTCTGTCAGTGTTGCACTCTCTCTGTTCATTTCAATCAGCTTTATTGGCATAAACAAAAACACGTTGTTGCCAAAGTAAGTTCACAGAAGATTTACATATTCCATTTTCAGGTGCAACATTCAGGTTCTAAATTATACCTGCTTTAAAAAAACAATACAATAGTATACAGTTTGATACAACTATTTCATAAAATAATCAACTTGATAAATAACGTTTTCTCTCTCTTAAAAAACATAGTGGGTTTACTTACATCAATGCCGTTCTCTCCTGGCGCTCCATCGAGGCCTGGCTCTCCTGGCTCTCCCTTCAGTCCCTACAATTAAACACATTATTGTCAACCAGGAAGTCTGTATAAATACAATTCTAAAAATAAATGGTGATAGAACTCTGAATAAACAGTGCAGTAGAGACTTACAAGTGGACCAAGGGTCCCAGGAGGTCCTTTTTCTCCCTGCAGACACAGAGAGAAGATGTTGATGTTTTGGTAATTTGGGGTATGATGTGACCTTTTAAACTCATTTATAGCCCTCATTAGTTTTCTCATATCTGTGTCTAACTATCACCACAGAGTCATTCATCACTGATACATCTGATAGACTGAAGCTAATTGCCCTACACTTCACTGTGCGGGTTCTCAAAAGTATTAATCATACCTTTTACTATAGTTAATCTAAGTGCTTCTCCTGTTTTTGTGATATTGATTCATGTGTTGTACGTCTGACTGTCTTCCATTTCTTTTGTTTTTAACTCAGATATATTGTACGACTTTTTATATTATACAGATTTTTTTTACTGATACACCAAATCAATTTCCTTATATGTGAAAACCTACTTAGCAATAAACCCGATTATGATTCTCTTTTCTTTTACGACTTGTTGTGTTGTTATCTTGAACTTGCATAGAGGTTCTTCCAGGCAGAAACACATGCTGAAAAGATAAGTAATTGTGTTGTAAATCAACTTGATGAGGTCTTATCAGATTGTTCTTGCTGAGATTCCTATCAAATCATCATCACACCTATCCTGTGGCAGAGACCCAACATGTTAAAGTGTACTGATGAGAAGGCTACACCTTCCACTTTGGACAAGGCATCATTGTGGGAGGTGTTAATGTAATAACTTGACCCAGCTGGTGGCACCAAATGCTGAGGACTAACAGTAACTCAGCACTCATCAGTCAGAATGCCTATTCATGTAACAAAAGACTACATGAATAGGAATGCAGATTAAAATAACAGAGTTGTTTTAGTGAATCTACTAAGTACTAATCACTTCTGGAACAGGACTAACTTCAAGGTTTTCCTTGCAGTTTCCCCCCTGCTCTGCTAGCTCAGCAGCTTCCATTTCCAGTATATTTATACAACCTGTGTGTAGTTAACCCTGAAATATCTCAGATGTATCACATTACTGTGACACAAACCCATGATTGAGGCAAGGGTCCCTTCTCAAAGACCCCTCTCTCTGCTGAACAGAGCTCTTTTGTGCCGCTGTGTTTTCATTCGCAGCGCCCTCTGCTGGTAAGACTGCAGCACAGCACATGAAGGTATTTCTCAGGCACAATGATGCTCTTTGTGACAGATCTGCTGGGCAAACCTGTGTGGATACTCACATCCATGCCGTCTGACCCGGGGGTGCCGGAGGGGCCTGGTGGGCCGCCCTGGCCCTGAGGTCCAGGTGGACCCCTCTGAAACACAGGCAGAAAGACATGTTAACACTATGTTAGCGACAAAGAACATTCATGGAAATGTTATACTGTGTAACTAGTGTGCCAATAATATAAACTGGATAATCCTGTATCAACATGCATTTGAAGGTGACACTGTAAGAGGTAATACCAGAAGGCTTAATCACATTTAAATAAGTGTACAAATGTTTTATTGAATGTAAAAAATAAAGTGTAAAATCATATTAGTTAACTAACTCCTGTGATGCATGACAGACCAGCATAACATTGGCAGATTCAATGCAACTGTATTGTGTATATCACATTTATAAAACTCAAAAACAGAATCAAAATAGAGAGAAACATTGGATATTATTGAATACAATCGGTTAGTGAGGGGGGTAAAATCAAAGGAATGAGCAGGAATGTGGAAGGAGGGATCATGAGACTGGCACTGTTTACCCCCCACCCCCCTCCCTATGTATCCACAGCCTGATGAATATCATCCAATTCTGTCAGGTGCTAAAGCTTTTTAAAATCCGATTCTTCAAGAAAGAAATGTGAAAACAAAATCAGAATAATCCTTAAAAGACGACGAGCTGATTTCACATAGGTGTCTGTTTGCATAGGGGCTGTCACGCTCAGTTAACAGAGCTAGCGTGTGTCAATGCCCACTTGTGTCCATCTTTGCCACGGCCATGAAAAACAAAAATAGTCTTCAACGTTTCTCTCCAAATTTCAAAGGAAAAAAAACACCAAGGCCGAAAAAAGGAGCCCAGGTAATGGCGTATCCTTGCCTTCAACAGTATCTCCTCAGTCTAATCTTCAAAAGAGATAAGAGTCCAGACACGATAAGGATGATAATCCACAGGAGATAGTCCGGTTTAATTTTTTCTCCACAGCAGAAAAACTCATTTCAAGCTCTTTCTTTTGCATGCATGCTACAAAGCAAGATGATCACCACAGATAGACCTTTGTTACATCAACCTGCAGCGTTTAGATCACTTCCACCAGCACCAAGACAACCTTTAACATCACATCAAGACTTTCCAGAGGCCCTGAACCACACTGAACCCCAGAATAAAGGTATCTATGCCCCTTGTCCACTCACCACTTGGGCCAGAGCCAGGCTCAGGGTCTGCAGAATGACCCAGGTCTTCAGCAAGGCAGAGAGAGCAGCCATGGTGCCTCTCCTCGGTTCACCAAATCCTCTCTTTTCTCTCCTGTTTCTGCTCTCTTACTCCTCTCCAGGCCGGCACAGTGCAGAAAAGTGGTGGAGCAAAGCTGTCCGAGAGGCAGGAGTGGGGGGGGTGGTGGGGGGCTTGGAGGGGGGGGGGGCTATATGCACAGCCCTGAAAAAAATCCACTCAGGAGCAAGGGGAGTGAGATGTGAGGGTGGAGAGGGATGGATGAGGAGGGGAGGAGGTGGACAGAGAGAGAGAGAGGTGTAATCCTGCCCCACAGCTGGCGCTGGAAGCAGAGGAAACACACACACACACACGCACACACACACACACGCACACACACACACCTATATATAGTTTTGTTTTCACATTAGTTTTGGGACAGGAGGAAACTCCCTGGGTATGTGCTCGGCTGGCAGCTTCTCTGATTGGTTGCTTATGAATAATTGGCATATTTTTGACCAATGTCCAATTAGGCTGAGGCGCTAAGCTCCTCCCAAAGCTGTGTCCAATTAGGCTGAGGCGCTAAGCTCCTCCCAAAGCTGTAGGAGTGGACCAATGAGTAAAACCTGTGTAAAACACCAAAACCACAGGCTTTTGAACACCTTTTTGCCATTGCTGTTAACCCCCATTCAAATGTGTCCTGACGTTTTATTCTCTCTGAGTAAATTGTTTGCCAGGTGCTGTCAATATTTCCCAAAATAATTCCATGGGAGTGTTGTGCTACACGATGAGAGAAAGCGGAAACAAATACATAAAACAGATTATATTAGGGATAGGGATGATGGGAAATAGGGAGCGTTAACTTGACGGTCACCTGTAGAGGGGCAGTATATTAATGAAAATTGGAAATGTTATTAATATATATAAAACAATTTATAATATACCATAATCACAATTCACCTGCATGTTTTGAAAAGTAATTTGCTGACATCTAGTGGTCATTTTAATAAGTGCGAGTAGTTCCCACAGCGATCCAAAGTGGCCCTTTGAGGCTGAATAAACAAAGCTGATGGCAATGTGAAAAGACAGTATAGCGACCCCTATTGTACAAACTATACATTACACCTCATACAGCATGGCTTGTGTCCACTAGATGGCAGCAGACACACATTAACAGACCTGCAGAGCAGCTCGGTTGCTATGGAGGCCTCCCCTGCTCTAACTGGGGATTATGCAGCACATTGTTCTCCTCACAGATGATAAAGACAGTACTGAGGATGCTGAGAGGAGTTGCATTTATTAGCAAATTGAGATGTATTGCACACAATGGGGAATCTCATCAGACCACATTAAATGAATTGGTAAAGCAGCTCAGTGGACGCTCCTGGACTGTATGTGTTTTGCACATTTGCACTTGCACTGCATTAATCACACTAACTCGGTAATGTTTTTGCCTTTATCATACTTTGCCCAAAAAGATTACATATTAACCATCGCCCGGTGAACACTTCTTTTTCCAATGTCACATTATTTTTAATAAGGGGTTGTTATTAAGTAGAATAATATGAATTGCACGCATTTGCATTCAGTTGCGTTTATGTAGGTACACCTACACCTAGGCTGGGTGCGTAACACTGAAGAAGCCAGTATAAGTAAGCTTTATTTTTGTATGTATCCAAAAAAAAAAAGCCCGGCCACATTTCCAATGAAAGAAGTTTACAGAAGAAAATGTAACGCAGCTGCTAAATCTGGTGGGACATTCTCCAAGATGGCAACACTAATAGCCGATCAATTCAGGCCCCTCCTCCTTCTAAAGGTATTAATATGAGTGTAAGCCTATCATTACAAATGTTAACAACTAAAACAGCTACTGTGAGACCCCATTGAAGTAAGTGCTGAGGTCAGGAAGGGTTAGTTTCAAGTCTGTCTTGAGTGTAAATCATGACATATGTGCAGATGGTAAAATAAAAACATTGATTATACGTACATATCTAGTTTTGCACTTATTTTACTACAATTTTACTATCAATTCTAACCCAACAATGTGTGTGCGCACAAGGAGTTAAACCTTTAGCTTTTTTTGAAAGTAAAGAAATGCAAAGGCTTTTTTACAAAATGACAGACATAGAAAAGTATTTACCAAAAGCACGCACATCAAAACAAACATGTAAAAGTTGGAAAACAGTGAATCCGCACACTGGATAATGCTCCCAAGCGTATATAGCGACTGTGGCTGCGAGGGAGTGCGGTCGTCTTTCAACCAGAAGGTTGTGGGTTCGATCCCAGCCCGTGCAGTCAACATGTCGATGTATCCTTGGGCAAGATACTTAACCCTGAGTTGCTCTTGATGGCATGGCCAACGGTGTGTGCATGTGTATGAATGTTAGTTCCTAGAGTTAGGTACACTGCTCTGTGTGAATGGGTGAACGACGTGTAGTAGGCCTATGTAAAGCGCTTTGAGGGGTCTTAAAGACTGGATAAAGCGCTATATAAGTACAGTCCATTTACCATATAAATTATATTTAATCACAACCAGTGACTTTTTAAATGTGTCCATCTCTTTTTCAGACAGGAACATTTATTGAATAGTTAGCTTTCAGTTTTTTTCATCAACTGTATGTTCCTTCAGCGCATTCATGAAATCAGACTGATGACTAGGGCTGTGTAACAGTATTACAAAAATACATGCAGCTTTTGTGCTGGACAACCGTAAACAGTTGGTCCTTACTTTCCTTAAAGCTGTGATGTCATGACTATACTTTATAAAGTATAAAGTGCTGCTCCAGTGCCATTACAGTGCTACCCTGCAATGCAGACACAACCAATCAACAACCAACGCTTTTTCGGTATGGGGGCTTAATAGAATAGAATAATGGGAGTGATGAAACCCCTCTTTAATTAGACCCTCCAGAAAAACGCGATTATGCGATCGCATAATTTACCGCATAATCAGCAAAAGGGCGCATATTTATTAAAAGGGCGCATAATCCCCGCATTTTTCCACACAAAATTGAGAAAAAAAAGTGAACTCGTCTTGACGTGAAGTAGTGATGATGATGATGACGCAACGTCATCAGCTCGCGCATCACAGAAGGTAAACAACACCGTAGAGCAGGGGTGTCAAACTCAATTTCATCATGGGCATGATGGTTGCACTCAAAGGGCCGGTTGTAACTTTAAGACTATATTAAAATACTTATATACATATTGAATATATATAATATAATGTATTATATTACATTATTGCCTCTGCATTGGATTATTATCAGATAGGGTAATAACTTCATGATTAACTACTTCTGAAAGCAGAAGTCTAGGGAAAATAATTGCAAGTCTCTTCTGCAAGAATGTCACAATATGATTTTAAAAGAAAAGCCACATTCTGGAGAAAAAAAAAAAAAAAAAGAAGTGACATTTCTCAAAAAAGTAATTTTTGAGAAAAAGGCTAATTCTAAGAAAAAAGGCATATTTTTTTACAAAAAAAGTCAAATTCTGAGAAAAAATGCATATGTTGAAGAAAAAAAGTCAAATTCTGAGAAAAAGTCAAATTTAAGATGCATTGTGGGACATGTAGTTTATGGGCAACGTGCTTTCTGTAAAGTAGCATGTAACCGTATAATAAACATATTCGTTGCAAGCTCTTGTGGGGCCACAGAAAATGAAGTCGCGGTCTTGAGTTTGACACCCCTGAGTGAACGTGTGGAACTCACACGAGAGAGAAAACACCAAGATGAAAAAATCGAATCCATCTCATTTACCGACGAACATTTCTGCTAAAGACCGGGCAAAGCAGTACCCCGATGTCTTGCACGAAAGTGGGGGGAAACTATTCTGCACCCCGTGCAACTCTGTTGGAGCATAAGAGAAAATCGAAGGTGACGACCCACTTTGATTCATTCAAACATTCGAAAATGCTTTCTGCTGCTGCGGACAAGAAAGCTAAACAACTCACGTTCACCGAGGCATCAACCTCCAAAACCCTTTCGAGGGCTACAAGAAACGAAGTGAGAAGCCTACAAGATTGAAGCTGGTCAGATAACGAACAAGTAAATGAAAACAGAATGAGGCGGAGAAGTGTGTGTGTGTGTGTGTGTGTGTGTGTGTGTGTGTGTGTGTGTGTGTGTGTGTGTGTGTGTGTGTGTGAGAGAGAGAGAGAGAGAGAGAGAGAGAGAGAGAGGAGAGAGAAAGAGAGAGAGAGAGAGAGAGAGTGTGTGATTAAAATAGCCCAATTGCTTTTACAATAAATAAACATTGAATGTATTTAATTGAATAGTAAAGGGGTTTAACATTAGTGGCAGGTTGTGTGTGAGAGAGAATAAATAAGACAGCCCAATATTTCAAAAAAATATTTAGCATATTTCGCAACTTTCCGCATATTTCGCAACTTCCCGCAATTTCACCGCATAAAATCACATAAAAACCCCGCATGTTTAATCGCATAATCAAGGATTTTAGCCCACGTTTTTCTGGAGGGTCTATTTAATGGTCACACATGCAGAGCACACAGCACACACAGTGACATTTGGCCTCTGCATTTAACCCATCCTAGTACCAGGAGTCTAGCACTAGGAGCAGTGGGCAGCTATTGTACAGCGCCCGGGGAGAAATTGGAGTGGGGGGGAAGGGGGGTTGTTCAGTGCCTTGCTCAAGGGCACCACAGCAGGGCCCAGGAGGTGAACTGGGACCTCTCCAAGTAGCAGTCCACACTCCATATTTAGTTCTGTTCGGGGACCCTACGGCTCACAGTCCAAGCCCCTACTGACTGAGCCACTGCCGGACACCTTCAGAAGTCACCTTCATTGGACATCAGCTATTAAATAGTCTTTCAGGCATATGTGTGATATACATCTACATAGGCCTGCATTTTAAAATCTGTCCTATTGCATTCATTTCTATATTTGAATATCAGGAAATTAGAAAATCAAATGCATGGCAATGCTGTACTGATCTTCTCACGGGTAAAAACTGAAAAGAACCGTGAACCAGTTGTTGTCTTTCTCATTACAAACGATTCCCCAGCCTTCTCAAACTTCGAAAAAAGACAAAGAAAACATTGGCCTCTCCCGTTTCTCTCAGTCTTTCTCCCTGCTCATGTTTAAACTCTCAGGGGAATATGGCTCAAATGTAACTTTCTTGAATGAAAGCAATCACATCTTGTTTCAAGAGCGGATAGCATGATTATCACAGCTTAC